GCGGCTGTATGCAAGGTGTGCCTCGATTACCACATTCGGCGGTTGAAGGAGCGCAGTAGCTCTCAGTATCATTCTAACGGTCAGTGGTTTTCGAAGTTGGTACACCTGGGTTTGTTCAAGCCGCAGCGGCTTATCCGCTAAATCTATCGTGCCGGACCGTATTCTGGAAGCCTACCCGGTGCGTGATGGGGATGTTCGTCGATATAAAGTAAGGTTTCCTCAAAGTGAGCATGAAATGGTGACCAGCCATGCAAGCATCGCTGCTGCTTCTTCTTAGGAGACCTTTGTTTCTGATGACGACTTGTGAGTCGTTATTGATGTCTTGTTCAACTCGTATTTTTTTATTTGCTGTCTCATAGTCTGACTGATCAAGGAGGCCGCCTCCCGGAGGCGTATATATTGATGCTCGACCAGTCTGTGCGGCAGAAAGCGTCACCTGTCAGTACATTCCTCCTTGTGCTTGTTTACAAGAGTGTGAGTATAGAATACATTCCGTAGTATTGATCATGAGCATTGAGCGTTACTGGCTCTCAACTTGAGGACTTAAGAGTCTCAAGTCCGTAGCCAACGTGGCTCAAGGTCTCAGTGTACGTTAGGATCGCATCTCTCCAGCTGATTCCGGATCGCGTTGATACAAGGGAAGGACAGGAGGCAGTGGGCATCAACAACGCTTAAGAAAAACACCCAGTTTTCGAATAGTTGGGTGGTTGCCGAGCCTCGGCGGCCGAGGATTTCTGATTCCCCTTCCGGTACTGAGTCACTTTTCAGTCGTGTTAGTCCTTTGTTATCAACGTTATGTCGCTTTGTTGATCAGTCGCTCCATCTCCATACGTCGACCCTAGTCTTCTTCTCACCATGAATATAGCGAAGTCCATCTTTATTCTATTCGGCCCACTCCTACTGTACTTCCAACACGGTATGGGTATTGCATATTGTGGGGTAATGATTAGGGCTCAGGCCAGGAATATGCTTTAATCGACAGCTATCTTGGACCAGTTCACTTAAGCTTCTCTGCATTATATTTCAGTTTCTAACATCGGAGACACAGATTCTGTGTTGCGAGCGTCCCGGATTTTCTTCTGTTCGCGTTAGCGATAGGTAGTGCAGCGAACCCGAATGCAGCACTACTAGTGCTATGATACTCGCTCTCTGTAGTCACGGATGTAACACGGTTGTAGCCAAGAGCAGCTTCCGTGTTCTTCTATATGACCTCACTAATGATTACCTCATTACCTCTCAGCGTCAATCCGAGGTCTTACAACCGTCGCCTCCTCCGAGGAGGTTCCGAGGAGGCTCCTCGGAACCGACTTGCGCATGGTTAAGCAAGACAACTCGGAATGACCTATTCTCACAGCCTGTGAACGAGGACGATCTTCCTAGTACTGCATTATGCATACAATACCCCATTATACCATATATCTATGGACCAACCCGTATCAATGAGGTTGTAGTGATAATTCACTGGTTAACCCGAAACCAATGAGCGTTCCCTCAATAATTGAGGGAAACGCTCATTGGTTT